TATTATTTTGATCTTACGTCCATAATTGAGCACAATCATAATGTTAGAACATCTCCGATAGTTTAAATACCATGAAAGTCTTTCACCAAATATAAAAATAAATCATGAGATTGAACCAATCATAATTAGACATTTGTGGTTTGAGTCTCTTAATTTTTGTTCATAGTCTCTCATTTGAGAAATTCACTTATTTTTTTTTCTCTTGCTTTTTTTTAAGGTTTATTAATTTTTTAGTCTAAAAACCTTATTAAGATACTCTCCATAGAAAAGTTTTTTTTTTCTTTTTGGTCAAAAACAATTGAATTAGATCGGACTAAACCGGATGGACTGATACAATGTTTAGGCCTAATTTTGCTAAACCATCAGCCTCACAATTTTGTGATCTTTTTACAAACTCGAAAGACACGACATTAAGGATAAGAGAGAGATGCGATATGTCTTTGAGAATGCTGAAGATTTCTAGGTTTTGATTTTTTGTCTTGTCAGATTGATCATAACCTGTCAATAGTTATGATCAATCTAAGAGAAGGCGGAAAGAGTGTAGATCCATCGATAGAAAAGTTCTTAAATATTAAAATTCAGACAGTCCCACAATTGCAATAACTTTTTGCTACGTCAACATTGTGTAATTCATAATTTGAATATATAAAGTATTGAAAAATTAAAAGAGGAATCTGTGAATGGTACTTGTGAGAGCACAAAAGGACAAAGGTATCAACAATGGAACCCATTAATGGACCAATTATTTCCATGAATCTCTTCACAATTGAACAAAAAAGAAGAAAGTAAAAAGCAAAACAAGTGTTTGCTTCTGTACCAATAGTTTCCATTTATTCTATTATTACTTTGTTTTTCTTTCAATTTAAATATAATTAAATTGATGTTTCCTACTAACTTGAAAGAAAAAGCATAGACAAGTTGTATGGCCACTTTAGTTTTTCACTTATCATTTTAAGAAAATCACACTTATGTATAAATTTCCCAGACATAGGTAAGTTATAAACTTTTAACAATAATATTTTTTTTTATTATTCCCTCCGTTTCTCTATATAGAAAGTATTGGAATTTTTTTGGTTTCTATATATAAAATGTTTTCATATTTTTATGTAATTTTTACTTTTATTGAATAATGTGTAGCCAATAGTATGTTGTCTTTTTTATAATTGACTGATTTGTTTTTTTTAATCTTCGTGTTTTTTTGCTAAAACATCAGAAACATAGGTAGTTTTTTGCTAAAACACCTTTAAGCTTTTGAAAGCATTGTGTCTCACAAGGTAAATCATGTGATTTTTGGTTCTTCTACTTCTGAGTTTATCAATATTCTACAAAGAATTATGGCATGGCCTTCTTTCTCTTGGCATGTCGCTGAGTTTTTGCTAGCCTTATCCCATATTCAAGATTGGAAAGTGGAACTTGAATGTGCTTTTTCGAATCGTGGTGCTATTTTGATTGCTCTTAGTGTGACAAAGGAATTAAGGGTCCAATCGTATGTGGCATCAAGTGCTCCCTTGTGGTTACAAGGTTTTTTGGATTCGGAAGTGTCTGGTTGATGGCCTTGGTGGTTTCGGATTAGGTTTTGAGGTTTATTTGAGCTACTTTAATGTTTGCCTTCGGCTTGGAACAAAGGATATTCGTTGCATAGCCTTTGTTTCCTTTTAAATAGCTTGTATAAAAAACAATTCTCCTCTTC